ATCACAAACATTTACAGTTAACATGAATATAAGATTTAATATCTGGTGGGTTTTATTCAGATATCGTCTCTATAATATATAATACTGTCATGCTGTAAGGGTACACATGTTTTATCTTTGAGCTGCCTTCAATTTGTGACGGGATGATTTATGTGGAGTTGCATACTGGCTTGATCTGAAAATAAACAAATATAACATTGTTATGAACTTAAAATGGAACTGAATTGTTGGCTCGATCTGAAAATAAACAAAAAACAGCATTGTTATCAACTTGTTATACAATTGAATTGCTCATTCCTTCTATTTTTAATCTTTGTTAAATATGAAATTTTACTAAAATAACTTAAGTTTAATTGACTATGACTGTATCATCCAAACAAAGATGAGTACTCAGCTGGACAAACCTGTCAAACCTTGTTAAAAAGCCTGAGGCCTGTGATGATTTCTCAAGCTATGTGCCCAAATAACACAACATATGTTGATTTCATATTATATTGGGGAAAATATATAGAGAACAAGCAATTATCATAGTATTGCAAGCAATCCATAAGTCCCCTACCGGTTAGAACCCCATCAACATTCTGAAGGGCCATTGGCCATTCACTAATGTTTCAATTTTCCTATATTTTAAGTAAATTTGTTGGAAAAGTTCTTTAAAAGTGATCACAGGAAACAGTTTTTATGAACAGACAGACAGACGGACTGAATGACACTCTAAAGTTAATATTTGAAACATCCCTGTTACCAAAATATAACATTTTTAAAAGCAAAATTCTTAAAGAGGAGATAACTCTTGAATTAAAGATGCAATTTCATAAAAAAAATTCAGCTCTTTTTGACTAATCACAAATAATGTTATATTTGCCATGTTTTAAGCCTATTTGTTGCCAAGGCAACCAATATTTTTTCAAAATAGGGAGAACAGATAAGACATGCATAATCTCAAGACTGCCATCTACCCATATGTCAAGTTTCATAAAAATATTTCCAGTACTTTTTGAAATTGAGTTATCACTGGATTCAGTGTATGTGTAAAATTTGCCATATTTTCAGTCTATGTGTTGCCATAGCAACCAGAATTTTCAACATAGGAAGAAAAGAAAAAGACGTGCATAATCTCCAGACTGCCATCTACCCATATTTCAAGTTTCATAAAAATATTTCTATTACTTTTTGCGTTATCACTGGATCCAGTTTATGTGTAAAATTTGCCATATTTTAAGCCTATTTGTTGCCATAGCAACCAGAATTTTCAACATAGGAAGAAAAGAAAAAGACGTGCATAATCTCCATACTGCCATCTATCCATATATCAAGTTTCATAAAAATATTTACAGTACTTTTCAAGTTATAGCGGGATCCAGTTTTGTGGATGGACAGACGGACTGACAGACAGACAGACGGACAGACAGACAGACGGACATAGGGTAAACCTAAAGTCCCCTCCGGTAAACCGGTAGGGGACTAAAATATTTTTATTACTTTTTGCGTTAACACAGGATCCAGTTTATGTGTAAAATTTGCCATATTTTCAGTCTATTTGTTGCCATAGCAACCAGAATTTTCAACATAGGAAGAAAAGAAAAAGACGTGCATAATCTCCAGACTGCCATCTACCCATATTTCAAGTTTCATAAAAATATTTCCAGTACTTTTTGCGTTATCACTGGATCCAGTTTATGTGTAAAATTTGCCATATTTTAAGCCTATTTGTTGCCATAGCAACCAGAATTTTCAACATAGGAAGAAAAGAAAAAGACGTGCATAATCTCCTTACTGCCATCTATCCATATATCAAGTTTCATAAAAATATTTACAGTACTTTTCAAGTTATCGCGGGATCCAGTTTTGTGGACGGACGGACTGACGGACTGACAGACAGACAGACGGACAGACAGACGGACGGAGGGTAAACCTAAAGTCCCCTCCGGTAAACCGGTAGGGGACTAATAAACATATGCATGTGTATCAAACATTTGTTAACAAGTTATAAAGATTATACTCTGAGTAAAACATTATGATTTTTAAAATTCTACCTTTATAAGTTCTACTTTCTAAATACATTCAAGTTTCATAACATTTGTGAGAAATGTAACTTCCATGTTTGGAAGTAACAGTTATAGCTCTAAAATCATAGTCTTAATTCAGGGAAATTTACAAAGAGAATACTGAATTCATTTCTTTTACATTGTTTTAAGTTCCTTGTAATTTTTTAAGACTATTTGTATATAACATATAACTTTTGTTACTTTTGTATAGAAATGACATGCTTTAATTTTTTATTGTTAGTTTTGAGGGGATGTTTATATCAAAATCAAAGCTGCCAACTATACAGTTCCTAGTCATTCTTCATTTTCTTATATTACAGACATTCATTTTTTTTTTCTATGCTTACTTATGGACATTCCATTAATATTTCTCATATACATGACTGTTCAGGATTCAGAATCTGTACATTATCTCTTAATGATACCCATGGATTTACATGGACAATTATTGTGTTAAGTATACAGGTATGGTATTGAATAATTATATTAGTTACAAATATTTGTTACAGATAAACTGGGAGGGCAATTGCTGACATATCTACTAACAAACAGTATATATCTTTTTAAAACAAGGTGTACATTTAACAATAAACATTGGTTTCATATGCTTTAAAAAAGTGTTCAGCATAATCTTTACCATTAAGACAACAGCTGCCAGTCATACATCTTGAGTATTTGACTGATCAGCCTATTTAAGTTATGAAATTTCTGAATTCACAAAGGGGATTAATTTTGTGACTACCAATTTTATAGTTATAGGTCTTGGTCAACGACAGAGATTTTTGAGCTTAAACAATGAAAACCTACAGTGATTGTTGGGGCAGATGTTAATATTAATTTAACAAGTTAGCTAGCTTTCTGAAAATCTCATATAAATGGGTCCAATGTAGAATACTATATATTTGAACCCATGTGAAAAAATGGCAACTGTTTTAAGGCATAAGACATCAACATCCTGTGCAGCATATCTGGCTCGCATGTGAATTTGAAATTTCACTACAATGACACAGTGTTTGATATTTCAGTAGAATTTCAAAAAAAAAAGTTAAATGATTAAATAGCCGTCTCCAAACATGCTGAATATTACTATAAGACTATATAAATAACTTGTGAATAAACTATAAAGTGTAACAATGAATTAGAACATAACATAACTTTCCATAAAAAGCATGCAATATTGTTTTTACCTTTTTGGGCGTTTTGGGTAGCTTTTAAAAAAACCAAAAAATTATAGAACTTTAATGGGAGATGTAAACTCCTAAATTTTTCTTTTATACAAATTTTAAATTTTTAAAAATTTTTGGACAGATCTTTAAAAACCGTTATATTTTAACATTACAACCATATCTTCAAATTATCACAAAATTAATAAAAATTTTTAAAAGTCTTTAAAACCCTTTTTTTTAAACAGTAACAGAAATTTTTCATGCATAAAAATTTTTGGGGCCAAGTCCTAAATTCTGCATTATATTTTTTTACAACCCCCCTTTCATTTCTATTTAAAAAAAACCCCCTTTTCCCTTTTATTAAAGTAAGTAAAAAGTCTTTACCACAATGTTGTGCTTCTCTCATCCCAACAATGTGAAAACTTAAATTCACCTCTCCTCTATATAGAGTTTGACTCCTACTACTTTTTAGTATGCTTAAAGCCCTCTCATTAATGTGGCAATGAATCTATTCCAAATACCGTATAATGTTGGTCCTCCAATCTTTTTCAAAACATTCCACCCTTTGTTGTTGATTAAGATATAACCCTCCTATTCTATGATATTTTCAAAGACCTCATCTCTCTGTTATATTCCCCAAACCCATTTCTGTGTCAAGTTACCTAGTAACTCTAGCTAACTTCATACAACTTCACCCTTCTCTATGCAATCTATGCCATGCCTTACCTAGGCTTTCAAACACACAAAATTTTAACTACTACATACCTATCTCCTTTCCTTCCAGAACTGGACAATGCAGATTTGTTTCTAGTTGAGTTAAATGATACTTCGGAATCTTCTCTATAAAACATACAAAACATGTCTAACCAATCTTTAACATGCAATTTAAAGGCATAGTATATAACAGTTTCATTTTAGATAAAATAAAGAGACACAACTGTGATAACTTGTAAGAAAAGCTGCAAACTTCCAGGATTTTGAACACTTCCTTTTTAACGAAAAAATATCTTCAGAGTTTAATCAATGCATAAATATTTGTGACTGATGTAGGTAGTCACTTTGCATGTTTCGATACAAAAGACAGTAATTAGTATTTTATCTCCATATTTTTTATGCTGGTAATTTCTCTGCACAATTATACTGATATTTTAACAAGCTACATGTATATTGAATATATATTCACCATTTTTGTACTTGACAAATATTTTATATATTAACACATAAATCACTTTAATTTTGAATATATATGAATATTGAGGTGTATCAATACTTTCAAGAGATGTTAGCATATGACCAGAATAAGTAGTCACACTTATCTTTATAAATGATTGTATGATATTGTAAAAGCAAGGAAGTTGGTAAAGTCAATCATACCTAAGTGACACAAAATCCCTCTGGGTGAAGTCATTTTCATCTATATCTTCTTCTTCTATTAATCTGTCTCCAGTCTGAAACCTGTCCTCTTAGTTGGGTTTGGAAAAACTCATACTGTATAGGGAAAGACAGGGAAAGATATAATATCAGGTTTAAATGATTGCTTTTGGACAACAGGTATATTCTATTTAAATAGTTAAATTTTAAAAGAAATGAAGAGATGGTTTGAAGTTATTGTATGTCATGTTTTGTTTTCCTTGTTTAAGAAATAGGGTAGAAAAGATTTTCTCTTTTTTTTTCCCCTTCTTTTCGTCTGTATAAAGTCAAAATTTTTGTCAAAAACATTGTTAATCCTGGACAGATTTTTTTTGGGGTTTGTTTTTACATTGCACTAAACCCCACATTCATCATGCCAAACAGTTTCCATATTTGGGGCCAAGAAATCTCCGGTGCAAACTTCGTGCATTATTTCTGTTAGGGTTCTGGCACCTAAGTAGAAAACGACCAACATTCTTGTACCCGGTAGCTGCTTAGGTTTCCTCACATGAAAAAATTGAAGGATCAAGCCCACAGTGATGAGGGAAAGCAAGTGGGGTTTGAAAGTCAACAATTCTTACCCTACTCTACCCACAGATGCCCCACTGATTCTGGACAGAAGATTAGCTGTTCATTTTAACTTTACAGAATAAAAAACTAATATGCAAATGACAAACATTTTGTTGGAGAAAATGAGTTAAGTACATCTGTAGGTTATCAGCAACGAGCTGTGACTATAAATTAACATATATACATGAATAGAAAAAACTAGAACCAGAAATTGTAAAAAAACCTTGTTCATGTTTTCCCTGCGTTACTGCAAAAATTTAATTTCTTGTTTCAGTTTAATATAAAACATGGAACGTTTACTGTTCTCCCTTTTCCCTCTTCCAAACTTCTCATCTTACTCTCTAAATGATGTTGACAGTCAACAAATGCTCCAACTAGATTCTGCAATATATTTGTAGATCTTGATCACGTGACTTTCATTGTTTTTAATGCATAAGGAAAATAAAATTCATCACATACCAGTGCCACTTTTGCAGGTGTGGCATGGGCCGTACGTATATTTTGACTTTACCTCACTTGCCTTATACAACCATAGAGTTAAAGCGCACTAAAGCTAGCTTTTAAATTACAGTATGTGTGCTTATGAAAAAATGTTTGTTTCTACTGTAAATAGTTCTTATTTTGGGTATGTGATAAATCAAATATTATATTTGTGTAGATTCAATACTAAATTTATTGAACTCATTGAATAAAACAATATAATGCTTTGCCAGGGCTAGCAAATATTATTTTAAATTCAAACTCCACTTTCCCAATATAACTAGGTGGTTGAATCTACATCATTCAATATGCCTCTATTTATTTCTATATTGCTCATGGTCAAGAAATAATTGTTTTCCTGCAGTCAAAAAAAAAAGACGCTCAAAATACATTTTAAAATATATCTGTATATAACTCAACAAGATGGTTCACATATGTCTTGATGTTCAACTTTAATATACACTTCAAAGTCCATTCAGCATGCATACAAAGCAATCAATATTTGTTTACCTGGCATGCTATAAGTTCAGGTCCAGCCTTGCCAACGTCTTTAGGTATAAAATCAGCATTGAGTAACAATTTTGACAACGAAACATCTTTACCATTCTTCCCACCTAAATCATGCTTTGTCTGTAAAAAAAAACAAGCCATATTTATATAACTTTCCAGAGTGCTCCTTTTTCATCAAAGAAAGAAGTAACCTATAAAATTATCATAAAAACCTTTAAAACAAAACAAAAAAGCTTGAATACAAATTTCCTCATGCTATATTTATATAACTGATTCCAATGTTGCTCCTTTTTCATCAAATAAAGAAGTAACCTATAAAATTATCATAAAAACCTTTAAAACAAAACAAAAAAGCTTGAATACAAATTTCCTCATGATATTATTTTTCTAATATTCAAGAACAAAAACGCCATGCTTGAACATGTTGAATGAAATGTTGTTCAAGATGTTATTTCTCTTTACATTTTATCACATGACCATGGGTGATTTAAAACAGAGGAAAAAGGAATCCCTGAGGAACACCAAAGATGGCAAAATCAAAAAAGTAGCAGGCTGACTTTGATTGAGCCTGTTCATGGTCAGTACTGAGATGATCCCAACCAAAGCCTCGTTTCAACTAGAAATGCGTCCATAGGACATGGATGCCTTATATTCCACTGTTTATCAATCTATGGATGGAGAGTGTGACAGAAAAGGGCAAATCTATCCCCCTTCCCCTCCCCACCCCCACAAGTAGTAGGGGCATAAAATGAGATTATGAACTAAGATTTATAAAACATTATGACTCCTGACTATAGATGTGTCATTAATGAAATTCGTGTAATGTTAAAGAATAAACAAAATTATTATACAAAAACTTACTCTAACAAGAGCATTTTCCACTGTCTGTATATATGAGGTAAGTATATCTTTATCTCTGAAATAACAAATGAATAATATATCTATCAAAAACAACATGTATATAATTTAAAATTTTTGCATAGATATGAATGATATTTTTACTTTTCAAAACACTGGTTTTAAAAGAAAACCCGTCATGAATCTGGAAGGAGATATACTGCTTGAAAACAGCAAACTATTGCCCTTCCATTTCTTGGTACCAGTATATCTTATAGACATGTCATTCAATTCAATATCCATGTATGATATCATACCACTACAGATTAAGACACACAAAACTACAAATGTGTCCATAAAACATAAATGCCCCAATATTTTACTGATTTCACAGTCTAAGGATGGACAACATGACATTAAGAACAGTGTGCTGGCAGGACTGATGGACAAGGGCATCGGGCAACGTAAATGCCCTCTTTTAATTTGGGGCATAAAAAGAGTTCACTTACTTGGCAACAGTCCTGAGAGCTTTCTCAGCATCTTGTAAATTATTCCGCAATGATTCCTTCTCCCCTTCTAGTGCTGCAAGTTGTTTGTTTACCTGTCTCACAGTCTGTTCTTTACGTCGTAACTCTAACTTTGTCTCAGCTAATCCCTGCAACATAAAACAAACAACAACTCTCTTACAATAAAATAAGTATACAAGAATGTAATCCTTGAAAGCAATTGCCATTTTCTTTTCTATTTGTTTATGTTAAGCTTCTTTGTGCAAAAACAATTTCAACCATATAAGAAATTACATGAACAATAAAAACTTTCCTTCATCTTAGACTGCAACTTATATATAGATATTTAAGTTCAATTGACATTGAATGCCATTCTGTTAATCTAGCAGTCTTGGAATACACAATTAAACTGTAGTTTTGATATAACATCTATTTTAATAACTAATCCAAAACAGGATAGTATGATGGCATCACAGTAACAACAAAACAAATTTCTCTTTTGACAGGCAAATGTGTAATACTTTCAACTATTTAACTATTACTTTACCTGTATGGCCTCTGACAGAGTCTGTTCTTTCTCCATGCCCTCAGATGAGAATATATCCATTCTAGCAGAGAGTTCCTCTAATTGTCTCCCCTGTTCTTGTAACAAGTTCTGTGCCTGCTCTTCCCTACGAAGTGCATTATTCAACTCTATACACACACTCTCAAACTTCTCTATAGGTACATACTTGTTGCCCTGAAATAATCAAGTAATAGTAAGTTATAATTATGATTTAATCTACATGAGTCTGCTAATAGAAGAAAGCTACCTGATGGCATACATGTAAGGTTGGTGGTTCTCTTTTAGTGTCAGCTAGCACCTGAAAAAAATATGTAGAGCACCAGAGATTTTCCTTAACAAATAACCCTGAAAAACCACCATATGACCATCATAGTGTTGGCTTGACTTAACATCAAACAAAAAAAACAATAGTAAAATGTGAATGCCATGATTTATACTAGTTTTATATTTTCAATAAAATGAAAAACAATGAATTGGATCTAAGAAATTCTGGTTATTATCTTTCTTTAAATATATGTAGTTCATATAATTTATGATTTTTAGGGCATTTGAAAATAACACTTCATACAAAGCATTCATATTAAATTTTGTAACAGAGGTCATGAAAAGCCCATGTGGATCTTACAAGTAATTCTTCATGTCATCACAGATCCAAAGTATTTCTTTGTTTATTAATTAGATGAAATGGGCAAAACATTGCTTGACATTGAAAGTCTTGAAATAACCCTATTAACTCTTCATTTCCTTTCAGAAATAATGCTAGGCTTGTAGCACTAGTATAAAGAGAGCCAGGCAGCAGCATATCTGTATAGACAGAAATAAATTGCCATGATCTGCTCAAATATAGCACTTTTGGTGTTAAATCTTTTACAGTTACAATAGACCGAAGACCAGTCCATCAGACAAATTAAACCAAGCAAACACTAAGCCATACAAACTTGTATTAACAACCTTTGTACAAGTTATTTTACTTGTAACACACCTGTTGTGTAATGGCTATATCATTTCCCTCTGTCACAAGTTCCTCTCTTTCAGGTCCAAGCCTTTCAACCTCCTCCTGTAGCCGACTAACTTCCTGCAGCAGGGACCTTCTCTCAACCTCCACACTGTGTAACCTCTGAGTAAACTCCAGTATATGTGTCTGTAGTGAAATCATCAGCTCCTGAAAATCAAATGTTATAATTGTAGGAGTCACTTTTCATTTAGTAGAAGATATTTTGAATGTTCAATAGAGAAAAACAAGAACATATCTACATTGTAAAAAAAGCAGTTTTGAAAGCAGTTAAACAGATACCTGTGGGGATGATGGAGCTGTTTCGGACCCAGTTCTTAGCACCTTGCTCAGGCCACGCCCTAACAACCGTACCAAAGAGTTTCTTTCTCTAAATCCTACATCAGGCCTTATGGACACATTCTCGTAATATCGCCCCAATCTGTCAAAATAGTCGAGTAAATGAATTCCTTGCTGCATTCACAATGGCTCTTGTTTCTACAGTGCCAA